GGTTTGGTTCCCAGCACCAATATAGCAGCTAACCATCTGTAACTTTAGTTCCAGGGGATCTAAAGCCCACTTCTGGCCTCCACAGTATTGCACATGTGGGTGCACTTACATATATACACATAAAGTAAAAATAAATTAAAAAAATATTTTTAAGAAAGTGAAGCAGTCTTATTGCTGATATAAAGTATTAGTGATCTAGATAGAAGATCAAACCAGCCACACTACTTGGTTTGGCCAAAAGTTAATCCAGAGCATGATCCTAACTTTCTCCCATTCTTTGAAGGCTGAATGAGGTAATATGGCTATGGAAGAAAATTTTAAGGAAGGGGGAATTATCTCTATGACATAAAAGTGGAAACTAAAGTAGAAAATTACTTCTATCAAAGCTGGAGCAAGTTATCCAGAAGGTCTAGCTGAGGTCATTGCTGAGGGTGGTTTCAGCAACAACAGATGGCAAATGTAGGTGAAAAGGCCTTATACTGGAAGAAAATGTCCTCTAGGACCTTCACAGCTACAGAGTAGAAATCAAGCCTTGGTTTCAGAGAACAGGCTGACTCACCAGGGCCTGATGTAGCTGGTGACTTAAAGCTACTTCACTATTGTGAACATCCTAAGACCCTTAAGAATACTAAATTTACGTTCTCCATACATGGAACAACAAAGTTTAGATGACAGCACATCTTTTTACAACATGGTTTACTGGTCCTTCTAACAACAGTGTTGAGATTGCTCAGAAACAAGCAAAGCAAAAGATTCATCTCAAAATATCACTGCATCTAGACAAGGTGTCCAGTGGTTCAAGAGCTCTGGTTGAGATGGACAATGAGATTAAGGTTTGGTTTTGCCTGCAAACATAGCATCTGTTCTCCAGACCACGGATCAAGGAGTTGACTTTCAAGTCTTACTGCTTAATTGGTACATTTTATAATTCTATAGCTGAATCAGAACAAAGTAAATTAAAGGACATTCTGGAAAAGTCTGAGCATTCTAGATCTGTTAAAAAATCATTTGTGATTCATGGGAGGATCTTCAAATGTCAACACTGATAGAAGTTCGGAATAAGTTGATTTCTACCCCCATACTTGACTTTGGGGGATTCTGGTCTTCAGTGGAAATAACAGGAGATGTGGTATAGACAGCAGAAATAGAATTAGAACTAGAATCTAAGGATGTGATTAGATTTTTACAATTTCAAGATAAAACTTTAACAGATAAGGATTGCTTCTCGTGGACAAGCAAAGAAAATGGTTTCCTGAGATGGAATGTACTGGTGAGGTGTTGGGTCATTATTGAAATGAAAACAAGGATTTAGAATATTCAATATCCTTCATTAGTGAAACCATGACAGAATTTGAGAGAACTGATTCCAGTTTTGAAAGTAAAACCTTCTACAGCTTGTCCACAAAAGGATGTTTATCAAAGTGGCAGACTTTCTTGCTGTCTTTTTAAAAATTGTCATAGCCAACCATATCTCAGAAATTTATGAAAAAATATTGATCTTTTTGCTACATGTAAGTCATGGGGCATGCTTACCTGTCAACTCTAAGTGCCATCATCACAGTATACCATGCACAGCATATGTCAGCCTACAGCCCATAAGCTATATGCATCCCAAGATAGCTGTGAATGCAGCCAACACATTTGTAAATGACAGTGTCAGAACACAGTGTAAAAAGGTTAAACATCCCTGGACATGGAGTCTTGATCACAAAGCTTGGAAGGCAGAATTGATATTAAGTGAAACTTCTCATTTTTCACATTCTGACTTTTTAAAATTGGCCTTTATTATCTTAAAAAACTGTGACTGTATTCCCTGATTGGAAAAGAATTATATTTAACTTCCTGTATGCCTTTAAAAAGCTTTTTATAAATGAGAAAGGGGAGCAAGGTGAGGGGTGTATGTTATTTCTCTATATCCCTGATACTACATGACAGCCCCTCCAAACTTACTCTTCTAAGATGCTTACCTACCACCCCCACTAGTAGTACCATGATTTAAAGTAGTAGCAAAAAATTTTTAACTTAGAAACTCTGAAATATCCACTTTATAGATGATTGCATAGATTCTCTCTCTCTCTCTCCCTTTCTCTCTCTCTCTCTATAATATATATCAATCTATCTATCTATCTATTTATCTATCTATCTATCATCTATCTATCTATCTATCTATCTATCATCTATCTAT